AAAAAAAAAAAAAAGACCTGAGCAGAGGTCGGCCACTTAATTGACTGAGACACCCAGGCGCCCCCATTTTTTTTTGACACAAATGTACTTAGAATCAAACTAAATCCTTTGTCTCCTCATAAAATAAACTGAGGTGATGATATATTTGATATAGCAGTTTATTTTCTATGAAGAATCTCACAGAAGAAATCCTAGGGAGATAGATTCCCTAGCCTATAATATAGAGCAATGAACATTGTCTCTGGGCCTAATTTTTTTCCTTATGAAACAAGGTTATATATACTGACGACCCCTTCGAGTTTGAAATGGTCTGATGTGTCCAGTCAGGTTTTTTCCTTAAATAACTTATTCATGCAGTACCAATACATACGAAATACACAATTTTTCAGGCAATTACAAACATTCCAGAGCCTGTCTAATTTACCTTTTATTTCCCATACCTATCACAGGGCCTAGCATACAGTAAATATTCAATCAGCAAATGGTATCTATTTATTTGAAAAAAATATTCAGTGCCTATTGTGAACTAGGCATTCAGAGCAAGAGAGAGTATCAACAAATTAGATGGTGATAACAGCTATAAAGAAAATATTTAGAATAGTAGAGAATAAAGGCAGGTATTTGTGCATGCTTACATGCACGTGTACGTGCATGTAGTTTCAATAACATCTGAGTGGATACATGAAAGATGAGAAGAAGCTGGGTTTTCAAAAACCAGGAAGAATAGCATTTTATGCAGAATTGATATCTGGGCTAAGGCCCCAAGTTAGGCAAGTTGTGTGGTCAGAAAGTAATCAGTGTGGCTGAAATATGTCAGCAAGAGAAGTATGAAATAGATTGGAAAATCAGCAGGAACAGGACGTACACCACTCTGTGAGGACAGAGATGACTTTGCAGGTCAAAGAATTTGAAATTTTAAAAACTATCTAAGATGTGTTGTGAGCAGAGAAGCACAGGATTCTACACTGGGTCACCAAAACTCCGTGCCTCTGCAGTCCAACATTCTAGCTCACCTTCCTGGATGAGAAATCACATTAGTAAGTCCATTACCTCTGAGCACACACAGGAGGGTAAAAATCAACTACCTGATAGAAATGCTTGAGTCCATATCATCAACGTTTCTGCAATCATCTTGCTAGTAATTTAGTGTTCTTAACTAGTCCCACTTATTAGCCAGAATCTCAACTCCTCTATTTTCCTCCCCTTGTATTGGCAGCAAATTCAGTCATGATGCAAAGTGACAGTTTGATGTAGCTGAAATACATGCCCACTGAGGCCACAATATTTGGGTCACCTCTGACATGGACCTAATTCCCTCCCTAGTTCTCCTTTGCTCTCTTGATACAGAATAAGGTGTTCCCTTAATGTCAGATACTGTCAAACATGACAGAGACAAAGAAACCATTTGTGATTTCCTTGATTCGAAGCACAGAGGAAAACCATCCCTCAAAAGGGGAAGAATAAATACATTCATTCAGAGTACTTTTCTATTTGATTTTTATAACATGGCATTTCTGTCCTCTGGCAGACATTGTGAGTGCCCTTCCCATATTTCTCAAGTTTTCCAGTCGCCATCTCAGCCCTGTGCCTGAGGGCTGTTCCTCTCCTCCACTGCATCCATGAGACAGGCCAGAAGTGTGCAAAGTCCTGAGGAATTAACAGACTCCTCCCCCAGCAGCCCTGGAGCTATGACTCTGAGCAAGTCCGGCTCCCTCACACCTCGGATGGGACCACACGTGCTGTATTTTGCATTGCTGCAGGATCAAGCTCAGTCCCCTTACTGTGGGAGCCGACTTAATAGCACATCTTCCATTTCCTGCCTTCCCTTCCCTATACTGCCCTCCAGACTTTCTGACCAGGTATAGCTGCACTTCCTAAACAGACCATTGTACCTGAATCCTTGTCTCAGGATCTGCTTCTGGGGAATGCGAATTAAAACACTCAAACAAAATTTTTTTTAGAAAACAGAATCTAAGTAGCACTTGCCACCACAAAAGTGTTTAACTACCATCCGTTGATACTCAGTGTTAAGAGGGAACTTTCTTCCTTTTCACCTCACATTTTCACATGGAAAGACTTCCATCTAGATTAACACCCAGTTTTCTCCCATTGGTTCATGTCTCTTGATTAAGGGGAAAGACTATCAAAAAGCAGCACAGACTAGAGACATATCCTCTCTTCCCTCTGCACTCTAGACCAGTATGAAATGACAGACCCGGAGAAGTAGATATTCCCTGCAGACCCCCAACTTTCCCATCAGTGGGTTGCCTCAAATCCAGACTGAATACTGAAGGTGGGCTACAGACCATTAGAAATCCTTTTCGGTTGTATATCTAAAGTCACATTCCTCAAGTGGCTTCTTGGATATTAAAGCTGGTGTTTTACAGTCCATTTGTCCACATTCTGTCTTCCTCTTAGCTGATTTGAACTTGCCAATAGCATGCTTGTGCAACTGACATGTTAATATATACCTGCACTGCTTTTGCCTCTAAATATCACTGAAATTAAACTATTGTTTTGTGATTTGTGTTCCACTACGTATGAATAACACTTTTTCAAAGTTTCTCATTTTCTTCACGATTATTTTATTTTAATCTGAAAATTAAGAGTGAGTACATAGGAGATATTAATATTAATTCAAAACAGTAAAAAAACAGGGCACCTGGGTGGCTCAGTTGGTTAAGCATCCAACTTTGGCTCAGATCATCATCTCAGGATTCATGAGTTTGAGCTCCACATCAGGCTCTGCGCTGACAGCACTCGAAGCCCGCTTGATCTCCTGTCCCCCTCCTTCTGCCTCTCCCCTGTGCATGCTCTCCCTCTCTCCCTCTCCAAAATAAAAACATTGAAGAAAAAAAAGGTTTAAAAAATAAAATAAATTAAAAAACTAAAAACCTTAACTCATAAGTAGGATACACTGACTTAGAATCCTTCTCTGCTTGTTCCTCTTTTCCCACAGCCTTACATCTCTCTGAGCACACCTTCCTTCTTGCAGGCCAGTTAGCAGTGCTGCTGTCCCCTGTGTTCTCATGGGCTCCTCGGTCCCCACCTGCTTTCTGGCCCTCTCTCCATCTCAGCAAGTGGGGAGTCAGGAACTCCCTCTTCCCATTGTCCTACTGGCGTTCCTGGAAGGGTGTGGTGTGATGCTATCAGGCACAGGCTGTAATGGTTACCTGTGGTTCTGAGCATGTCTCCTAAGGAGAGTCTCCATCAGATGACCCTGGATCTTCCTTTGCAAAATCAGAGTCATCTCACCTGACAGAAATCCTTCCCTCCAGAGGTTGCAAAGCCAGCACAGATCATCCTCTCTGTGATCCCTCCTGGGTGAGAGCGGTAAGCATGTTCACAGACCTCTCTTTCTAACACAAGCACCTGAATCTGCTGCAAGCGCCTTGCAAGGCCGCCACCTGCTTAAGAAACAGATTCAGAAATACAGCTTCTTAATGAAGTAAACAACACATTATGTTAAAAAGACATATTTAATTTCAGACTTCCTTTGCAGTAATGTAATTACAATCACTCAGTTTGGCCTGAGCTGATGTTAATAAAAAAATGTGTCTCACATAGGGTGTCTTTATTTCCCAAATGTGGCATTTTGGTAAAGGAATACATTATCAAAAGAACAAAACCAGAAGCATTTTTTTCTAGTTTATTTTTGATTTAAAAGTTAGTGTTTCAAACATTGTTACACAAAAATTCAGAAAGAAAAATTCAGCAAGATATGAATTGGTGTTGTATAGGATATATATGATTATATATTTTAAATGGTATATTTACAGATAAAAATATATTATAAATGTGAGAACATATTTATAAGACTTCCTAATATAAACCAAAATCATATCCCCTTTTCCTCTATTGTCACTGAGACTAATCTCAACTCCAATTTGAAAGGACTAAAAATGGTGGTGCTTGAGTGATTGAGTCGGTTAAGCATCCAACTTCAGCTCAGGTCATGATATCACAGTTCATGGGTTTGAGTCCTGCGTCGGGCTCTGTGCTGACAGCTCAGAGCCTGGAGGCTGCTTTGGATTCTGTCTCTCTCTCTCTCTCTTTCTCTGTTCCTCCCCTGCTCATGATCTGTATCTGTCTCTCTCTCAAAAATAAACATTAAAAAAATTTTATAAAGGACTAAAATGAAGGCTATAAGGCTAACAATGAACACTACAATACTTCTCATAACTGACCCTCAGGCAGAACTGTATTAACATGAATTCTGCATGACTTATTCTATCACTTTGGATTCATGGCTAATTTTAAAAAAGCTTAGTATTAGCAAGTACCTTATATTTGTACAGTACCTTAATATTACTCCAACCCAATAATACAACATTGTGAGGTGGGTTGTTCACATATATGATCACGTTGACCTCACACATGAAAAAAAACACAAGAGTTTTGAAAATCTGATCTCACAGCACATGTGGGGCAAAACTAGCACTTAAGCCTAGGTTGGACTCTAAAGCTCGTGCTTTTTAATGTATCAATCTAATACATAAATAAATTTAATGATTTTTGAAATCCTCTTTTTAGGGACCATTCCTGCCACTGGTCTTTACCATTTCTTAAAATTAAGAACTCATTTTCTCTCAGATTGAAAGAATGAATTCGCCTTTCATAAGACTGTAAGTAAGCGCCTTTCACTTGCCTGGTGGTCACGGAGGTGGTGACGGTTGAAGGTGTCAGACAATGGGCACATTTATTCAAGGTCTTGGAAGCCAGTCAGTCAAAAAAAAATTTACTGAGCATTTACTCTATGCTAGGTGCATCGGTAGCCCTGGAGGAGAGTGCAGAATTAGGCATCTGCCACCACGAGGCTTCCACTCTAACGGATGAGATGTGGAGAATGATTATATACACTAACGTCAAAGCACAATCGTGTGTGATGAAATGATAAAACTGGGTGGTGCAAATGTGACGGAAGGGCAGTCCTGAGGCAGCAAAGTGATCGGAGGAGGGTGTGCCGTTCTGTGCTGCGAGCAGAACGATGAGGAGGCACCTGGGATAAGACTGAAGCAAGAGTGTTCCAAGCTTCAGAAAGCAGAACAGGTCTTGTGTTGAAGAGGAAGAAAGAAGGCCACAATGCCTGAAGCGGACACAGGGAGGAAAGGAAGTTGGAGAGGTAAGTGGAGGCCAAATCACAGAGTTTTCCAAGTCAGGCTAGCAGTTCAGACTTTATTCTAAATGTAAAAAAAAAAAAAAAGAAAGAAAAGAAAAAAGAAAAAGCACCAAAGAGTATCAGCTGAACCACGCTGATTTTTATTTTATTTTTGCATGGCTTTTTCAATATATATTATTGGTTTCCAGCACAACGCAGTGCTCATGTCAACGAAGGTGCCCTCCTCAATGCCATCACCCACCCCTCCCCCTCCACTCCCACCCCAATATCAACCCTCAGTTTGTTCTCAGTTTTGAAGAGTCCCTTATGCTTTGGCTCTCTCCCACTCTAACCTCCTTTTTTTTTTTTTTTTTCCTTCTCCTTGCCTCCCCATGGGTTCTGTAAATTTCTCAATCCACCCTAAAATTGAAAACGCCATGGTATCTGCCTTTCTCTATGGCTTATTTCCCTTAGCATCACCTCTCCAGTTCCATCCGTTGAGAGGCCATATTCATTCTTTCTCATTGCCTATGAGTACTCCATTGTGTATATAAACCACAATTTCTATTGTATCCATTCATCAGTTGATGGACATCTTTCCCTTAATTTGCTTTCTGTATTTGAGAGTGCTGCTATAAACGTTTTTCTAAGTGCCCTATGCATCAGGACTCCTGTATCCCTGTAGGTAAATTCCCTGCTTAGTGCTATTGCTTTTTAAGGTCACTTAGGTAGAGTCTATTTTTAATTTTCTGAGGAACCTCCACACTGCTTTCCAGAGTGGCTGCACCAATTTGCATTCCCACCAACAGTGCAAGAGGAGAACCACGCTGATTTTAAATCCTAGCTTTGATAAGTACTAGTTATGGGATCTTAGCAAGTGACTTAAATCTCTTGAGCTATAATATCCTCATTTACAACACGGGGAGGATAAAACCTCCTCATCTGGTGGTTGGGCAGGTTTGAGGAACATGCAGAGTGGCTGCAGGTGGCACAGTAAAGCTATGCTCACAGACAAGCAGATCCCAAATAAATGACACACAAACACAAGGAAAATGTACAAGGAAACCATCTTCTACAGTGGAAAGAGGCAAAATGCAAACATCAACACGTTCAGATCTGCCAGTATTTTGCTGTGGCTTTAAGAACTCTACGATCTAGACCAGCAGTCAGCAAACCACAGCCAGCAGACCAGTTCTGTGCCAGCCCCATCCCCAGACCTCTTCGTAATGATGTATACACTTTGAAATGGCTTCTAAAAAGCCCCAGAGTAATATTTCATGACACATGAGTATTATATGAAATTTAAATTTCAGGGGCGCCTGGGTGGCTCAGTCGGTTGAGCATCTGACTTCAGCTCAGGTCATGATCTTGCGGTTTGTGGGTTCAAGCCCCGCATCAGGCTCTGTGCTGACAGCTCAGAGCCTGGAGCCTGCTTCAGATTCTGGGTCTCCCTCTCTCTCTGCCTCTCCCTGCTCACACTCTGTCTCTCTCCTTCAAAAACAAATAAACATTAAAAATTTTTTATTTAAATTTCATAAATAAACTTCTACTGGAACACGACCACATCCATTCTGTTAGATGTGTATGTCTATGGCTGCTTTGCACTACAATGGCAGAGTTGGATAACTGGGACATGGAACATATGGCTTGCAAAGACAAAGAAACGTATTATTTGGCTCTTTACAGATCTAACGTCCCTATAATAAGTCACCCTGACGGAAAACTATAAAACAGTTCATTCTCTAATCACCTATGACTAAATAAAACATGGGTTCTATCTTTCAGAGAGAAGAAAGGCTAAAGCAGGTATTGCTTGACATCATTTCCATGCCAAGTTTTTTAAATTAGCAACTGGCAATAATTTTTATGCAAAAGTAAAATGTTCACCTTCACTAATGCTTCCCCATCCAGTCACAGCACAGATCTCAGAGGAAAAGAGTGGCTCCGTGCTTTCTGGGAGACACGCCGGCCTCACGACGGAGTTGAACACCAGAGGAGAGCTCAGTTGTATTAGGGCGATGTCAGAGTCAAAGATCCGGCTATCAAAGTCTTCATGCACCACAACGTGCTTGGCCCTTCTCACCTGTATCAGTGGTGAGCAAGCGAATTACAAGATAAAGTCAATGAGTCAAACTACTTCTTTGCATAATAGTCCAAAATAAACCTTCAATCTCTGTATTGCCATGCATCAGCAATGAAGGTGGCTCTGTACTGAATTGAAAAGGGCAATCTGTGTTTGTAATTTGCAGGAGGCCATGAACTTTCTGAGGACAGTCCTGGAGAAAGCAGGCTATGTGGACCTGTGTACACAGACTTGAATTAAATTTCCTGACCTGCCTCACTTAATTCTCTGATGTAATCGTGAGCTCAGATTATATCTTTATGTTTTTTATTGAAAAAAAATTTTTTGAACATTTATTTTTGAAAGAGAGAGAGAGCATGAGCAGGGGAGGAGCAGAGGGAAAGGAAGACACAGAATCCAAAGTGGGCTCCAGGCTCTGAGCTGTCAGCACAGAGCCCGACACGGGACTCCAACTCACAAACCGTGAGATCATGACCTGAACTGAAGTTGGAGGCTTAACCAACTGAGCCACCCAGGGGCTCCACAGATCATATCTTTAAATGTTGATACATCCGGTAACTGTATAGAGACACTAGGAGATGGGTACCTAATTACAAATTTTAGCTAAAGGTATTCCCCAGCATGTGACAACACTTAGGATAGAGGCAGAATGACCCTTCAAAACATTTCTCACCTGCTCAGTTGATTCCTTCAGGGTTCTGTCATGGTCCCCAGCAACAATGGTCCAGAAGAGTGGATTATTTTTCCTGGAGAAAGAACAAGAAAAGTTTGACATGAGGAGTCATTTTTTTACCATTTGATCTAACCCCATGGGGCTCTACCAACACGCACTGTGTTTAGCTCAGCCAAATGCCACTATTCCCCTGTCTGGTGCCTTTGTGTGATCTCCTGCCTGGGAAGGTACACCACACCTCCTGATCTACCTGTAGAGTTCTTAATGATGCATCCCGCCCCTTTATTTTGGCAATAAAATGACCTTGGAGCCCCTACCAAATATCACCAAACACTATTTTTAAGTTGAAAAGTTAAAAAGAAAAACTATAGCTTACTTTCATTTCACAGTGATATTAAGAATACATAATGAGATAGCTTCTGGCCTATGTTTTACTGTTAAAAGTAGCCAAACATTATCCTACAGGAATACATCTCAAATTGTTTTCTTTTAGCAAATCGCCAGAATTAATGGAACAGAGGTTAAAAAATTTATCAGTTCACAAAACAGGTAAAACTCACCTATGGCACCTATGGGATTATTTTGGGGAGATGATGATTGGAAGAAACATAGGGAGCTGCTGGGTGTTGGCAATATTTTGTCTTATGATGTGGGTACTAGTCACGTGGGTGCTCACTTTGTGAAAATTCCTCTAACTATAAACTTGACATTTGCACCCTTTTGGTATATTTCAAAAGGATGTTTTAAAAAAGTTTAAATCAATATCCATTAATCTGCCACATCAAGATTTTCAGCTGAAGAAATATGTGAGGAAAGAGTCCCTCAATTGTCACAAATATTATCACTTCAGCTTGGAGATTCTTTAATTTTCCAAAATTTACTTTTTTACTTAGGAAATGCAAGGTTATTGAAATTATTTTTTCAATACGCTTTTTTCAAAGGAAAAGTTTCTTCATATACATGGGCATCTTCTGTCTAGTCTTAACCATGTTCATTTCAATTCCTTGCATGATGAGTCTGACTTATTCATGTGTTTCAATATGACTTATTAAAGGAGCCTACTCAGGTAAAGTGCTTGGCAAATACCTTCCAGATGGTAATGATTCCATAATGGTAGCCATTATCAGTGTTATTATCTGCCATGCACTCTAACTGAAGGATTAAACTTTATTTTCAAAGTCACCCTCTAAATTATTACTTGATAGTAAAGAAACTTATTTTCTAAAGCCACTCTACTTCTTTAGATAGAGGATAGCGTGCACAAAGGAATGAAATTATAAAAATCATGGTATAGTTGATAATGTAGATCACAACTTCTAGTGAAGTTTTATGTGCACAGTCATCAAATTTCCTTTAATTTGGTAGAACACTGTATAAAAAAATTGTTATGACAAAACAACATACATGTTATGAGGGAACAGAGTCTGAGTTTTTCCAACAGTAGGATAATAGCTCTAAGTAGCAACTGATGGATTTCTCCATCCTATCTCCCCCCTTGCTCACAATCAAATTTCATTTCTTATATCCTTAGGGTCTTAGCCCCAATCCAACAATGGGACATATGCCACTACTGCTTTGGGAGAAGAAATAATTACTGCTGAATTACAGAAAAAAAAAGTGGCTGAAACTGAAAAAATTTAGGTCTTTAAGAAAAATTTAGTCTTTAAGACTGAAAGATTCCAATGTAGAACTGCAAAGTGAATTTAGTTCCCTACAGTAAAACTCCCAAATGAGCACAAAGACCAGTGTGAAGTCAGCAAAAGAAAAATACCAGTTTTCCCTAACTGTGGAACATTACCTGGGAACTTCTTACAAACACAAATGTTGAGGCCGCACACCAGACTTATAGATTCAGCAACCCTCCAGGTGATTCTGGTTTATGCTAAAGTTTGAGAACTAATAAACTAATATTAAGAGCAACCAGTGCCAGCGAAGCCATGGGAGGTGGTCCAGCGTTGCTGTTTTCCTTAATGTCTTTGGAGTGCTACCCAACACTGTGAAATAGGCTGGCACCTAGTGCCCTTCAGCAAAAATGATGTCTACTTCAGCTCCCACACTTTGCAGATCTCCCCAGCTGGCTTATCCCCCGTGGTAAACTTCCCTTATCAATGGATTTGGATATGTGGAAGCCCCCTTCAACAGAGGATGGGGCCCTGGGTGTCTACCAAGTCAATGAAGATGATCCGGGAGAAACAAGTCCATGAAGGAATCCACTGCAGAGTTCCCACGAAGGCAGAGTATGAGTGGAACATACCAATTTTGTTACTCTAGCCTATCAAACACTTCTGGTGTAAAGAGCCATATACTCCAAGGAATAGCTTCAAAAAGACATTTCTCTGGCGAAATAAGTCAGGCAACTATGAAGAGTTAAAGAAAAAATGAGGCACACAGACATTTTCTGTATCATTATAAATATAAGGCACAATGTTTTGTGCAAAAAATAATATATATGGTATATACAAATACTATAAAATAGACCGTGTGCTTAAATATTAGTGGGAAATCATGGGAATGCAAGCTGGTGCAGCCACTCTGGAAAACAGTATGGAGGTTCCTCAAAAAATTAAAACTATAACTACCCTATGGCCCAGAAATTGCACTACTAGGTATTTATCCAAGGGATACAAGTGTGCTGTTTCGTAGAGACACATGCACCCTCATGTTTATAGCAGCACTATCGAAATGTTTATATCAACATGTTTATAGCAGCACTATCGAAAGTATGGAAAGACCCCAAATGTCCATCGATGGATGAATGGATAAAAAAGAGGTGGTATATAAATACAATGGAGTATTACTCAACAATCAGAAAGAATGAAATCTTGCCATTTGCAACTACATGGATGGAACTGGAGGGTATTATGCTAAGTGAAATTAGAGAAAGACAAATATCATATGACTTCACTCATATAAGGACTTTAGGAGACAAAACAGATGAACATAAGGGAAGAGAAACAAAAATAATATAAAAACAGGGAGGGGGACAAAGCATAAGAGACTCATAAATATGGAGAACAAACAGAGGGTTACTGGAGGGGGTGTCGGAGTGGGGGATGGGCTAAATGGGTAAGGGGCATTAAAGAATCTACTCCTGAAATCATTGTTGCACTATATGCTAACTAATTTGGATGTAAATTA